GGGTCGCCTGAGAGCTGGGCCGCGAAGGGTTTCAGAAAGCTGGGGAGCTGATGAGGTGTTCTCACTTGCAGGCGCTTACACGAAAGTACCACAGCCTTTGCCAGGTTTCCCTTGATAAAGATAGGTTTTTTAAACGTGAGAATTTCTAGTTCTGAACTTGGATTGCGTGGCAGCTACAGCCTGGCCTAAATGATTTTTTTTGAGTTGGCTTGAATTTCCAAAATTGAAAAACCCCAATTTTTAAATTACTTTTAAAAATAGCATATAGTCTTGGTAGGGCTTTAATTGTTAGTGTTCTAATGGAAACAGTTTTCCAGATGACCCCTGTTGTCTTTATTTATATGTCATCATGCTTGTAAAACTCAGTCATCATTTCCTTAAATGCATATTTGATTGGTTCTGTCGTGGTAATGGCTGATCAGACACTCTGAAAAGAAAACGGTGCTTTACGAGGGCTCTCATAGGGAGAATTGATTGATTAAAGCCTGGTCCGATTCATATGACTTTAAAAATTCTACTTATGTATAGTGTTAATTTGCAAAATACCCCTATTAAGACTGTCCAGGAGCTGAGTTGTTGTTTTGTGGTTAATGATGATGACACGGTTCTGTTATCTGACAACCGATTTACAAATATAGCCACAGAGCTGTGTGAAACAAGGCCTGGAGCCTGCCTGTTGGCAGTGTGGGAGTCCAGGGCTGCAGGGCAGCGGTGAACTTTAGGGTTCCCCTGCAGATTCAGGCCCTGTGACTGCAGAAGGCGTTTGGATGATTTTAAATGCTTGAGTTTCTCTTAACTGCTGCTGCCTTCTACTTCCTTGTTAAACACATAAGAAAGTGTCTTCTGTGACAATAACAGATTATCACTGTAGTTCACTTCCTTCATGGAGATTTTGTCATTTATGTAGTATCTGAAGACATTTATTTACTCAAGAAGTGAAGATATTTTTAGTTGAAATGTTTTTCTGATAAAAGCATTGAGTTAAAAATCAAGTTTTATATATAATCTTTCAGGTAACATTCTTATCTAAAAATGAAAATCATGCTCTTGTTTCTCAAATCTGTTCCTGCAGGTTTAAAAGTATGTTTTAATTTGTATAAAATCAGAGCTTTTATGGTTCCTTTCTGGCACTTTTGGAAAGAGATGTGGTTGGTGTAGTCACTGAAAGTGCCTGAAACTCCCCCATGCTGTTCTGAATTGGCGGAGGTCTATACTGGAGAGTCACAGTTTACCAACAGTACTGTTTGTGTTGGGGTTTTTTATTATTTTTTTTTAATATGATGCTTGGAGTAAAATATAGTAAAGATTGAGTATAGACACGTATGAAATGCATGAATGATCTGGTTTTTATAGCCCACAACAAGGCATTATTGAAAACTTTATGTAGGAGGTAATCCATATATTCAGTTTTATACGTATTAGATTCTTAATTACATTTTTGCCAGTAAAACCAAATTATATTAAGATTTTTTTTTGTCCCATTCCTTGGGCAATAAAATACTGTTTCCGTTGTTGCTACTGTGATAATTAATCGTTAGGACCAGATTATAAAGGTAGTCAGTAGTTTGCCAGTTTGCAACCCCTGAAATTTTGGTTACTTTGAAAAACATAAATTTCTTTTAAGATTTGGAAAAAGTTGCCATCATGGTTATAAACAGTATTTTCTTGTTTTACATTCCAAACTGGAAGATGTTCTACTTCAAATAACAGATGTTCAGCACCGTAAGCAATATATATGACTGCAAGAAACTTCCTAGTGTAAGTGCCACGTGGGATAAAAGCAGCACTGTGCATAAGCAGAATTTTAGCTCCCTGTGCTTACTATTACTTAACATTTTTATATGCACTAGTTAAATCAGTATTTTTATTTAATCTTGAAATATATCAGAATATATTTATTCAGCACCTTTTTACATTGGTAGCAAATTTCCTGTTGAACAACAAGGCTACTGTCTGGTGTCCAAAAGATGGACTTCACATAGAATGTGTCATTTTACTCGGATAAGTTTTATGGAAGTAAAAGGGAAATAAACCCAACTTTTAGGGTAGAACAGGGAAGCATAAAATGTAATGAAACTTTACAACCTTTTGTGCTGTGCTCTGTCGTGTTAATAACTCCACTAACATTGCACTTAATTTAATTCTGGTTGCCTTTAACATTTACTAAACAGTTTTGAAAATCACTGTAGCTTAGCCTGAGACGTTTGTGATTAGCTGCACCAATTTGAAATGGCCAGTTTGGATGAGGACAGAACCTCCTCTGCGCATGCTTTTTTAAGATTTGGTAAGTGTGCAGTTCTGTGTTTTGTTTTTGTTTGTGGCTATTTAACTCAAAAGAAAATCATTGTGTGTTTTGTATTTCATGCAGTGTTTTGTTTTAGCAGTTTTTTAGCACTCTACAGTAGAACTTAAATTTGAGCTCTTTCAATGAAAACTTCTGAAAATTGGAGTCTGCTTAGATTGAAATCTGCTGTTCAGTTCTTGCTGTTTTTTGTGTTTTGTGTTCTTGCATCTCTGTGTAACAATCTCTGAACTGAAATTTCTCTTTTAAGGTGAAGGTCATGTGAAAGGTACACCAAGAATGCTGTTTAGAATTGACTCTTAAAAAAACCCAACATGACTGGCTTAGCGAAAAGAAGTAAAATTTCTAATAAGTCAGTCATTGTTCCAAAGGTTGGCATTTGGAAATGGAGGCAAAATAAATCCCATGGCACCACTTCTCTTTAGGTACAACAGAAGCTAGAATAGATGAGGTTGTCAAGACTGTTACTGATTCAGCTGAATATGATTTGAAAAGAGTTTGACTGGAGCTGTGTCCTTATGTGAAGCTATCTGATCTGGGGGAATGTGTATGGGGCGCTTCTGTAGTTGTGCTACAGCACAGCAGCAGGACAAGTGCTAACGAGGGTGACCAGGGACGGGATCTCAGCCACAGCTGAGTCATTTGAACATGCTGCCCTGCCTGGGGCATTTCTGATTTGCCTTTCTTAATGTCAAAGGACATGTGAAGTGTTGACATTGTAATTAAAAAATTACTTTTTCCTAATTGATACATTGATACTTGATATTTCTGTTGTTATGATGCAAAACAAACATTTTTAGTAGCATTAGGAGCTATTGTTTTGAGTTCCCAGAAATGACAATGACTGCCTTGAATATCCTGACTCGTTTCCTGCCCTTGCTCGTGTGGCCGACTTTGGCATTTTGGTGTATTGTGGTTGTGTGAACCTGCTGCGTACAGGTGTGACTGTCTGTTTTATTTCTGGTGTTCAGTAACTTCTGTGTGGTGTCAGTTACTGTAAATCCTGAAATCAGTAATTTCCATTTAGTATAGTGTGCTGCAGAGAGAAATCACATCAGATTAGGAAACAGGGAAAGGACAAAATAAATTGGTACATATGTCTTCTTTTTCCCTGAAATTCTAATTGAATTAGATGCACAGTCGTAACACATGATTTTTCTTGATAAATGATAGTTGAAAAGTGTTGTCACTTTAAAACTGTTTAAATGAAACTACTACAAGATTTTTGTCATTTTCACCTGTGTTGTTACAATCAGTCAAAGTAAGTAACACTTCGTACCTTGTGTTTATTCCTAACGTTTGTTCAGATCGAGGAATACTTTAATGCCTTTTTCTTCTTCCACCCTCAGCCCTCTTCTGGGCTGAGGTTTCCTTACCATGTTTTCATTGACTTGTAGAACAGTTCAGTTTGAAAGGGATGTTAGGGGATCACCTACTCCAGCCTCTTGCTCAAAGCAGGTCGCTCTGAGATCAGAGTTTCCTCCATATGTAGCCTCGCCAACAGCAACACCATTGGTTCATGTTAAGTTCATGGCATCGGAGTTAGGATACTTGCAGAGATGAGAAGTGAGTTTTCCTCCTAGTGGAAATGGTTCTGAAAATTATTTTCTGGCATCACCTTGCTCAACTGCATGAGTTTGGACTGAAAAGCAGATGTATTTCATGGCAGACAACTATTAGAATAGGCTGTAGTGTATCCAACAGTGTTTTTCTCCAGTGCTGTGTTAAGTCTGAGCTCAGGAGAGATTGCAAGAGAAATCTTGAGGGAAAAGAAACGTGATGTCGGAAGGATATGATTTGTTCCTATTATGTGATTTCTTTAACTTTGCTGTGTGAAGTAATAAAATCCTCTTTGGTCCCAGTGACTTCTGTAATGGGAAGATGTTATTGCCAATACTAATACTGGGTAGTGAAAGTTACTGTGATGTGAGATCCAGAACTTGTTCATGTCTCAAGTGTTGGATTACATCCAGAACTAGTGTCGCATTAAAGGACTGTGGTCAGTTTTTATTCTCATCAAATCTAGAAAGAAACCTGGTTTTTTCAGCTTTTTTTTTTTGTTTGGTCTGTGCCAATTTAATTACACAAGTAAGCATTTTCTTTTGTTCTTCTGGCATGTAAAATGTTGAAATAAAATTCTTACCATTTTGCTTCCATTTGTTTGTGATGAAACTTGGGAAGGGTGTTTGGTTGGTTGGTTTTTTTTTAAAAAAAAATCTTTATAAAATGATTTAATTGTTTTAATTACACTTACATTTTTAAATGTGAGTAATCAGTCCCTCTTGAAATATGCAAATCTTTATCCATAGACTAGGTCCAGAATTCCGTTCTGATGCCTGTTTTTCTTTAATATATGCAGTTGCTGCCATCTTCAAGGATGTATGGGTGTTCAGAGCTCCTGTATATACTAATTCAGGAGCAGGATTTCAAAATGTTTGCCATAGCTTTTAAATCTACACATCTAGGCAGTTTATAGCTCTTTCCTGAAGAGTAATTAATGTTAATCTCAATTATAACTGGAATAAAAACGAAGAGGATAGGAAGGTACTTTAACATCAGGATGACGTTATATTCTCAGCCCCCAAAGGCTCTCCATACATATAGATAGATAGATAGATAGATAGATAGATAGATAGATGGATGGATGGATGTACACTGCTAATAGCTTACCTCAGAGAACTTGCCTTAATTTCCTTTAGTTTTGTGTTCTGCCTAGAAGATAGAATTACACTAATTCTTTCCTGTAATTGTTGTACATTTGAGTTTCATTGGCTGGATAATGTTTTCTTGTAGTTTCCATGTCTTAGCTAAGCCCAGAAATATCTTGTCTGTTTATTAGTTTAGTTTTACACTAGTAATTGATGTCTCTTATCAGTTATTGGGCTATTTCTGATTTCTTCCTGTTCTCTAATACTTTGAAAGGAAATGTCTATCCTTTTTAGCAGTTCTTCAGCTTGAAGAACGGTGAAATCATATTACTTTGGAAACTGTAAGTGGTAGGAAATGAAAGGGGATTCATTTTCAATTCAAAATACAGATATAGTGTATTAAGTCAGTGGAATATATGAACTAAACAGAGACTTGGGATAAGGTTTTTGAGTGTTCTCTTATCAGACATTAAATATATTAATGCAGGAAGCAACACTTGATTTCCTATTTGATTTTTTAGTGATTTGAAGTAGATACTGACTTGCAGCAATCCACTTCTGATGTGAGGTAATAATGGTCATACTTCATTCTTTGTGGAAGAAAATGTGAACTACTGTGTACCCTATGTAAATTTTGTATATGGGTGTCACACAGGTATACAGCTGAAGAAGTACTAAATCAACAAAGTATTTTTTATATTCCTTCCTAGCATATCTGCTTATTTACCTAAAATGAAACTCACACTGTGTGGCTAAAACAAAATATTTTTGAAAACCAGTATTTGGAATCAATGTCCTCATTCTGTTTCTTCTCAGTGCTAATGTACAAACTGAGACCTCACGGGCACTGTTTGCATATGTCATTCCTTTATGTTTAAGTGTTGCAGAATCTTGCTGGTCTCATATTCTTCAATTGAAAACCTATTTTAAATATGGAATTGAAAATAGCTTTCTTTGGCAGGTTTCTATCTTGCTGAAATGAACTATGAAATAGATTTTGGAAAAGAGTACAGATGGGTTTTTTTTAGCTGTCCTAAAAATAGCTTCCACAGGGTTATGGTCTTGCTACGAAACCAACCAGAAAGCTCGGCTAGCTTCATGGTTGTCCTTTCTGTTTCTTGCTTTTCATTAGACTGTGATAGTAATGAAACGTAACTTACTGCAGGGTTTGCCTAGCAGAATGCTGTACATACCCAAGCAAAACATAAACCCTGTAGATGCTAATGAGAAATTCATGAAAAGTATGTGGAAAACTTTGATTCTGAGTGTGCCTTTAAACAGGTTCTCCTTGTAGTAGGAGTGATTTCAAGAAATACATTCAAGGCATAAAGCTTTACTTGTTGTCAGTTTTCTTGAACTTTGAATTCATTTCATGTTTTTGTTTCATCAACACTCTACTCTGGCTCGTTTAATTTGTTTCTGCTGGTAAAGTTTCCAACATCTAAAAGTGTGTCATTTGTAGATGGTGGTGCTTTGACATTTTCGTGCTCTTTATTCAGTCTTTTTGCACAAAGTTGAAATCTTTGAATGCTCTGAAATAGAATATGCTTTTTTGTTCATGATCACTTTATTTTGTTTCTCTGTTGGCCACAGAGGGTCACACATTGTCTGGTGAGTATGTAAATGAGAAAAATTTTATTTTAGAAACTTTTGCTTTGTGTGTGTAATTGTGTGCGCCTGTGAATACTCAGCTGTTTTTCATGGTGCAGTACTGAGGTTAACGTTCTGCAAGGAATAGAAATTCTGAGCCTTTTTCACACACAAAGGACAGTGTGTTGTGTATTTGTTATACAGTTAACAAATCTAAGAGTAAGAATCTTTATTTTGCCTTTGAAAACCTACTAAGTAAATATTTCTCATAGGTTTGCCACTTTTTTGCAATAAGTGACTTCCTGAAGAGTTTTTCCTATGCATATTCTTGTCCTACTTTCACTGAATCACCTTATAAAGTTACAGTTACTGCAGGGCACTGTATTGAGTGCTTTTGCATGGTAACTACATTAATAGTATAACAATATAAAGTGCAAATCTTCTCATGGACAAGGATTCCTAGGCGAAAAGAAGAAGAAAAATAAAATTGCTTTGAAAAACTGAAGTTGGGTTCAGAAAGTTGATTTTTACAGAAAACACAAAAAGTAGGATATATTGTGAGTTTTTATTTTGCATTAAAGAACAACTTCATTTCTTTCAGCTTTTTTTTAGGCAACTGAAATAAATTGAGCTCTCTGTGCCTCCCTCTCAGGCCCTTTCCCCCCATGCATGTGGTGGTTGTAGCTTCACCTCTCCCAGAGAGGACAAGCAGGGCTGTAGGGGAAGCTCAGCTATGTTGGTGAATCCATGCCCTGCACACCCACAGGACTCTGCTCAAGGACGGGGGGATTTGTTTCTTTTTGACTCCTACTATTGCAAAGCAAAAGTAACACTCATCTGGAAGGTAGGGCACGAAACTTTTTCCAATGTCCTCAGCACAGGGCTTGATTATAAAAGCCACTGTCAGCACTCCACTCACATTCCTCTCGTTTGGATGAGAGTCCTGGACACGAACAATCTCCTCTCTGACAGCCGGGTATGTGGTGGGAGTGCAGAAGAGACAGCGTCAGTAGGAGCCAGAGCTGCCTGGCTGCGCTGCCCTGGCCACGCATTGCTCGCAGCTTTGCAGAAGGACAGCACGCAGTCCTGAATGGGGAAAATCCCGTTCTTCCTGTCAGCACATGGCTCTGTGGGAGATCTTGCCATCCAGAACACTGAATAAAGCCAAAGTGATTCATGGAAAGAGAGCAGTGTGTTACTCTGAAATTCAAAATTGGAAATGGGTTACTCCAGTAATTTTTAAGAAATTGTATTGTTCTGATAGGTATAATTTCAACTATCAGGAAATAGGACTTTTCAGATGCAAATAAGGAAGCAGTCAAAATGTGGGACACTGGGAAGGATTTGATAGCATTGTATTTCTCTTGGTTATAGGTAATTTGGGGCTTTTATCTGTTGGGTAGGTAGTTTCAGCTTTGGTCATACATGAAAACAAGCTAACCCTTTTTTGATTCAAGGCATGAAATCAGCTAGGCTCATGGTGGTGGGGGAAAACGAGGTTGGGACAGGTAAAACATTGCTGGGTGTGTACGTTTGGACCGTTATAGATGGCAGGCAGGGAACTAATAGTTAAAATTCGGCTACTTTTGTCCCTCTTCCTTTTGTTTTTCTACATACTTTCAGGAATTCTGTCTGTAGCATAATTAATTTCTAAGTAAATGTTCTTAGAAAATTCTTAACATTGATTAGGCTGTCTTAATTAAAGTGTACATTCATGTAGCAATTCCTGTAGCTCGATATCTACAAGGCATTGGCGATCCAGATGGAGGTCTTGCTTGTGTGGACAGGTACTGTAGAACAATGTGAACAGAAATCTTCTGTTCTTGAAGATGATAGAAATTACAAATTTTTTTGTTTGAAATTCAGTAAATTGTGCTTTTGGATAGCAAACATTAAAAAATCATATTGCAGTACTTTTTAGCAATAGTAGAATTATGCAACTCATTCTGATCTTAATTTTGTTTTTTATCTTCTTGTTTTTTAGGTTCAATTTACGAGCCACTTAAAAGTATTAATCTTCCAAAACCAGAGGGGGCAAGTCTGTGGGATAAATTAGATCATTATTACAGAATTGGTAAGTTAATAATTGTTCCTACCATGCGAGCTTTTCAATGTAACTGACTAAAATATTTACATAATACATAAAATATTTGCAATAATATCTGCAGTCTTTAATAAGGATTTTTATTTTCAGAAAAGTAAAGGGTTCTGGCATTACTATTCTTCATAAGATTCCTGTGATAGTGTAATGCATCTATTTGGACATTTCACACATCGCTTGAAAAATTCTGACCTGTGAATAGTATTCAAAATACCACCTGCATTTGTCAAATGACAGAATAGAGTCTTAGTTGCATGTGATGGTCTTGCATGAGGGAGTTGCAAAGGTAATCTGCTGACAGCTTTGGTGCTTGAACTAACCCTGATATGAATTGGAATTGATATCTACATGTTAAATATCATTGCTATTCCTACTTGATTGGTTTCCTAAATTTCTGCTGGGAGTTTGAAAGGCACAAAAACTGGAGGGTTAAATTACACTTGTTCCTGAAAATGCATATTGGGAATCCAGTCCAGCTGTAAGACTGAATTTTGAATTGTTTTGGATCAAATGGTAGCCTGCTATGAACCAGATACATCTGATGAAACAAGTAAACAGAAAAGAGCTTTCTTATAGTACTTATAACAGTTTGGCAGGTGGTCAGTGAGAAGTTATTTTTTTGTTATTAATGGTGCTTTAATATATGTTTGTGGTGAAATTTTATCTGTTTGCTAACTTATTTTAAACCAATTTTAAGCCAAAAATGTGCACATTAAGGAGGCAATGGTGTATTTTGTTTGTTTTGGGTTTGTCGTTCGGGGGGTTTGTGTTATTATGAAGTCCTGTCAGTATTCTAACATCAGGAGGTTTTTAGAGACTGTGCAATTGACTGTGTAAGTTTTAGTCAGGCAAGGGTATAGAGTAGTGAACAATTTTTTCCAGCATTCTGAAAGTGTGGGGTGAGACTCCCTTCACTCAGATCCCTTTTGAAGTAAAATCTGTGAGTTGTGCCTGGTCTAGCCATAGATGTGTTGGTTTTTGTAGATGCATTGCTTTTATCTTTCTCACAGAGGAGATGACCGTCCAATTTAGTTTTAACACTTGGCAGCAACAAATCTGTGGTGGTGCTTGCTATTTATGTTGGGCACTTACGTTGCCAGCAGTCTGCTGCTTCACTGAAAATTTACCATTCAGTTTATACTTCATTTTGGAATAATCTGTATTGATATTTTAGGTAACTTTTTATCAAAGTTTTAGTTATAAGGTATTAAGTTACTGAAAAAGATTATGCAAAAAGCCATAAAACCCTTAAATTTTCATTTAAAATACAGAATTTCTAATACATAGACAATAGAAGCTTTTTTGAGTTGATACTCGATAACATTCTGCAAAAAAAGGCCACTTTCTTGTCTTGTAATAGACAGGTTATTGTTAGAAGGGTCGTGGTTAAGGACATTAAGCCCAGTTTCAATCTTGTAGCACATTGCTTATTCTACGGTTTTAGGACAACAATTCACAAAGTGCAAAATATTAAAGTCCAAAAAGAATGAAGGTAATATTCAGAATTTTTTCTAATTCAGTTTTGACACCTTGAAAATTCCTGTCTTACTGTTTTTTTTGTCAAGGTTAATTCTATTCATCATTTCTCCTTACTTTCCCATTCCTTTCCTTTTTTAAACATCTTGATACAATCACCTGGCCTAAGTTAAACCTTTAATTTTTATGAATGTGTAGTTCTTCAGAGATTAACTATTTAAACTATTGGGGGGTGGGGCATGGGGTAGGTAGTGGACATAGTGTAGCCCCCCCCTCCCCCCCTTTTAAGGAAATTACTGGATTGTGTTGTAGAGATTCTGTGTGGAATGGGTTGTACTAAAGCAGAACCATATGAATAGCTATGAATACTGATTTTCTGTAGAAAGATCTCTATTGATTGAAACACCAATGTGACTTTTTTTTTTAACTTTTTTTCCATTTTCCAGTTAAGACTACGCTGCTGTTTCATCAAAGTCCAACCACCGGTCTGTTTCCTACAAAGACATATGGGGATGACCGGAAGGCAAAAGTACATGACAGCCTTTACTGTGCTGCATGTGCCTGGGCTTTAGCCCTTGCTTACAGGTGAATAACTTCTAAGCTCACATCTCTGCCATGTTACATTGTACCCTGGGAATGTTTTAAAAGATGAAGCTGTATCGAAAATAGTTTTGGTAGAGATGGTACATGTTTCCAGTTGTTAATAAAAATATTTATGTAGCTACTAGATTAAAAAATGTCACTCTGCTTCTGCTAGGTAAACATGATTTTATATAATTTAATTGGTACTGATGTTCTGAAACAGAGGAATTAATGCGTGCTACTAAAACCAAAGGTTATTGCGGCAAACTGTACTCAAGGAATTCTGCTCTTTTTAAATGCAGGGGAGTTCAGAGCAGAAGCAGGCCTGTTGTAAGTAGTAACAATCCAGGTACTCACAGGGGAGTGAGTCCTTGAATGTTGAGAAATGTGTATTTGGGAAACAATAGTGACTATCTTCCTCACCAAGTACAGAGGCTGGGCAGTCTCAGTTGTAGCTCTTCTTATTTTCCGTTTCTTCCATTTCCACTGTTGACTCATTAGACAAGTAGGTTAGGAATTTGTGTGGTGTGGTGTGGCCTTGAGGACTATGGACGAGTTCCCTCCCATAATAATTGATCCGTAATTCTCTCTGCTTTAGGACAAATAACTATGGAAATTGCTTTTTGAGATTTATTATGCCTTGTTTGCAATCTTACTACCCCAGACTCCCAGGAAAACACAGACAGAGGTGATGTTTACTCAAATGCAGTGTTTTTAAGAAAGAAGATGGTATACAAATATGAAATAATTTACTCTTTTAGTAATCAAATTCTTATATTGAGATAGTACTCAGGTCATTGGACAAAATCCTAGTATATTTACAGAAGAAGGCCAGAAATAATATGGAGAGCTACTGTTGAAGTGAAGGTGATCTACATAGCAGATAAAAAGTTTTGAGTTGTCATCTAATGGGTTTTAAAACTGTGAGAAGTTAGCAAAAATGATAAGGCAATTAACATTCAGAATGTGTAATTAGCACTTTCATTTCTTATACTGAAATCTTTGTGTCTGTCTTTTAGTTTCTCTTTCTGTTGGTGAAATATAAGCATTTGAAAATTAAAAAAAATTGGAAAAAAATACAAGGAAGAATAAAAGGGACAGGGTACTTGTTTAGATTTCGTAGAAAAAAGCACAGCATAATGTTGCCCATGTTATTTAGTCTTTAATTTCCAGTATCATAGAAGATGATATATGGAAGTTGTGGCAGTTTGAAGGAAGGACAAAGTGACAAGATAATCAGTTTGTGCTACTTCCAGTTATGCTCAGAACAGGGCCCTGCACTTCAGGTGCTGTGCAAGGAATTTTTTTCATGGGCAGAGGTTGATAGTCAAAAATGAAGTGGATGGCTGAAATCTGAAATGAGCCAAGACACAAGTCTTATGCGGAAAGCTGCACTGTCTGCCTGATGCAGATTGCTGTGCTTAACTCATGCCAGTGCTGCTGTTCACTTTCATAAAAGCTGAATTTCTTGAGAGCTTCTTAAGAAAATAAACACTGCTGTTGTGATTAGGAGAAAAATGTTGTAGCATGAAAACTTCAGAGCTTTTACATGTGCTTCTTATTGCTCTTTGGATTTACGATAAAGGTGAGTGTAAATCCTACTACTCAAAGAATTCTTAACTTTATTTCTTTATTATCTGGTTTTATTTCTTTTGGAGTTCCTTTTTTCCCCCTTGTCTGAACTTTGTAATTGAAAACAAGTACATTTCTTGTATCTAAGGTTATTATTTATGTAGCATGATTTTTGGGTGTGTATGATTTTTGAAGTTATCACTACCATCCCAATTTTCAGTGTAGGCAGCAGAACCTCAGCATAAACTATGAACATGTTAAGTATGGTGGAAAAGGATATGCTCTGTCTGAGGTGTAGTTACCATCCACTTCCCTGTAATCAAATTAGTCACAGCTATAAAGTGGACTGACAAATAGCAGTGAGCTTATTATGCTGTTTTGCATTTGTATCGGAGACATGTTGTAAATTACGGATGTGTAAGAAAGCGTAATTTTCACCCTGAAAGGCTCAATCAGAACTGGAACTGGAAAAGACAAAACACGTGAATGCAATGATCAAGGTTGTTTGCACACAATACTTACTTCTTATAGTTAAAATAACTTGGGATTTGGCATTATTTTTGCTGTACTTTCAGTAATATAATAATTGTGAGTGTCGTTTGATTTCACTGTATAAAAACACTAATCTTGAAACACATTTCTGGATATTTGGAGTAGTTAACTCTCAGATTCTGTATTTTATCAGAATCATCAGGAAAGTGACTGCTTGATTATGAATGGCAAATATTTTGTAGAGTTAAAGAGAAATTGCCTTTGTGCTTTGGATCTCTCAAGGAACATAGAACAGTGTTATAATATCAGCAAGGATTTATTTTTCTTTTTATATTTTAAAATAGGAGTGTTTGTGTAATTTGTAACAAACTAAAAAAAATAACTTTTTTTAGTAAGGAAGGATGGGTAGGGCTATAAATGTATTGATATGAGTGTGGGCACCACTATGCAACAGTAAATATTAATACCACTATTAAATACTTAATATTCTGCAGAAATAATGTGTCCTTTTTTTTTCCTTTCCCCGCCCCTCATGCATTTCCAGTTTGTTTTATGAGTTATCTCTCTTACCCAGGCGTATTGATGATGACAAGGGAAGGACTCATGAACTGGAGCATTCTGCTATAAAGTGTATGAGAGGAATTCTCTACTGCTACATGCGTCAGGCCGATAAGGTAAAACACTGCATTGTGGACACAAGCACTCACTTAATTTTAGGGGATTAATTAAACTGTGAAAACTAGCTTCTAAATACAGATAAAATGCAACAGGGGAATGCAGTATTACTGTGTGGCCCAGCTAAGAACGGCTGCTTCGTTATTGTCAGGTTGCAGCATTGTTTTAGGGTATAAAAGACGCAAGCATTTTGTGAAGTAAACTGTGGAGCCTGCTTGAAACTTCTGTTGGTTTCTTTTGCAGGTATTTATCCCATTTAAACATTAGACCATTAGTAATTGTTTGTGGGGTTTTAAATGTCTTTTTCATACTTAAATGACAAGATGTAGGATTTCTTTTAGCTGGGGCTGGAGAGTTTACTTTGCACTGTTAACTTGGTTATTGAATTTGCAGTTTTCTCCTTATCTAGGTGATTATTTTGCATGGTTTCTTTAGCAGCCACTTTCCAGTACTCTTTTTCTTAATGATGTAAATTCAGAAGGACAGCAATCCAAAATGAATAAGGAAACAGGGTATTTTACTTATGTTATAATACAGTTGATATTTTCAGGCTGTAATCCTCTTGTGAGTATAACCTGAATATTCTTGAATATTTAGGACTTCTCCTTATCAAAATGTAGATGTGGTGGATTAATTTTGCGTAGTGATTAGCAGTAATTCTACAAGTAATTAACTGCCTGTATTCCATAGGATTGTTTTAAGTTTCATGTCACTGACTTTTAACTGCATTATTAAAAATAGTTCCTATGTTACGACACAGCTTCCATCACTTCTTAGCGTGCAAACTGAAATGTGAAGTTCGTAGGCGTGTGGTATCAGTAGTAATAATAATAATAACAAGCAAATCAAGTATATTGCCAGTTGTATTTATGCTGACATGGTATTTTTTTCAGTTTTCTTAGTCTGTTCCTTTGTAGTCTTCATCTTTAAATAATTTTAACCTAAATTAATCTCGTTACATTTGAGCTGTTGTTTTTCTCTTTGACTCGGAGTGGTTTGTTTTGAGGATGATCAGGGCAGATGCGAATAGTGAGCATTAAATTAACACAGGTGTCACACTAGTGACATACTGGTTGTCGGTTTTTGCTTTGATTACTATAAATGCTGCTCTCTTCCTACAATGTGGCAATAAGCAGTCTGAGGTACCTCACAGATGTAAGTCAAATAGAACTTTATTCTGAGAGACTCTGTGTGTGCTGGTCTCATGTAGAAGGACGATAATTTTTAATAATGGGTTACATGTTCCCAAATGCTGAGGTGTTACTTGAATAGGTGATGCTGCTTGTGGCAGAAATTGCAGATGTTATATTCTGTTGCTGATGTACATATAAGTTGTGACCTAAAATGTATTGAATGTGTTCATGGACATGCTGTATGCTCTGTTTGATTTATTGCTGGAGAAGAATATCCCATGAAGAAAAGACCAGTGTTGAAAATGTTGTAGAACATGGACTACGTACTGGCAATGATGGCTAGAAAATTACAGAACTGTTTGTTGGAAAGCATAGCATGATTTGAGGAATTATGGGGAAGGATCTTCTTTCATTACCTTTGTTCTTTGTGAATTTGGTTTCCTTTCTCTGCCATATTGTCAGCTCTCTGAGGTTAGGTTTGTTTTCTCAAATGGTTTTGTAAGGTAACAGACATTGTATTTTGTGACAAAAAAGGAATTGAACCTACGTTAAAAGCACTAGAGTTCTTATTTCACTCCTTTGTTGTTAACCTCTTTCATTAGTAATTCATCTTATTGCATTCCATCACCATTGCAGGAAATTCTGTATCATAGAGGCTCATTCTGAGGTCCAATGAAAGTCCATGAATAAAAAGTCATGTTAATCTAGGGTACTGTTATTCCTATCTATGATCTTTATGTTTTCTTTTTAAGCTATAAGCTTTGCCTTCCAGTATCTGTAAACATTTCGCTGTACGTCTGAATGTCACTGTGCTTACCAAAATAGATCTTTGTTTGCCCGTGTACTCTTTTATACTGGATATTCTTAGCTCTTGCAGGTTTTCATGTATTACGTGATCAACATGTGGCAATTTCTGGACACTTTTGTAGGTTTATTTGGAAGAAGGGTCCAAAATTACTATTAGTATTAGTAGTAATTTTTTGTTTTAAAAGCGTGACACATTGTCAAATGGTACAACAATAATTATTAAATTGTACGGATTGTTATTAAAAAAAATATTAAAACTGTTGTTCCCAACGTAAGTGTTGGGCTCTTGTACTCCAGTAAGAGCTTTAAACCAGGAATGGAGAGAGGGAGCACTCAACAGTCAGGTGAGAAAGTGATGGATTGGGTAGGCAAGCAAAAGGCCTGGGACGATGCTGTGAGAGTTGGGGTTGTTCAGCCTGAAGAAGAGAAGGCTGTGGGGAGACCTTATTGCATTCTTCCCATACCTGAAGGGGTTACAGGAAAGCTGGGGAGGGACTGTTTACAGGTCCTGGTAGCAATGGAATGAGGGGGAATGGCTTTAAACTGAGGGAGGGTCGATTTACATTAGATGTTAGGAAGAAATTCTTTACTGTGAGGATGGTGAGACACTGGCACAGGTTGCCCAGGGAAGTTGTGGATGCCCCCTCCCTGGAAGTGTTCAAGGCCAGGTTGGACGGGGCTTTGAGCAGCCTGGGCTGGTGGAGGTGTCCCTGGCCGTGGCAGGGGGGTTGGACTGGAGGAGCTTTAAGGTCCCTTGTAGCCCAAACCATTCTATGTGAACTGAAGGCACGTAGCATTGAAGTGGAGTTGTCCCAAGCATGCATGTAGAAATAAGGAGGTACCTATGGGACAGCGTTATGGAAAAGAAAGCTCTCAAATCCTTTCTGGGAAATCAGCATGCCTTGGTGCCTCTCAGAAATGGCCATACACTGGTGGGGAAGAATTAGAAGTATGTTTGCAGCTGCAGGGCTATGATCTCATGGGATCACAGAGGCCTGGTGATCAAGTCAAGTGACTGGAACACTGTAATGGATGGATACAGGCTCTTTAGGACAGGCCGGGAAGTGAGGATGGGAGTTGTCCCACATGTGAGATAGTCGCTGGAACTCATGGTGCTATGCTAGGGAAAGGTGGCGAGCCAGCTGAGAACTCATGGGTCAGGAATCCAAGATTCTGCTCAGATTTCAGCTCCAGTGCAATAGGTGGTATTTGTCCAGAAGATGAAAGTGGCAAAGCATCTGTAGCTAGCTATTACAGAGCTTTTTTCTACCAAAGCTGAAGATATTAGATATATGGGTTGAATATTTCTGTTCTTTAAGTAAATGCATACTTTATGTATGTATGAAATGGTTTCTGATAAGTTTCAGGAACTGTTGTTTATAAGTTTTGCATAATGGTCATATCAAGAAATTTTGAAATACCTGGGTTATATAGTGAATTTGTGGCTGCCAAACATACTGAAGTTAATTGACTTTAATTTTATGTTTTGCCTTTCATTCACCTTTAGGTTCAGCAATTTAAGCAAGACCCCAAACCATCCGAATGTCTTCATTCTGTTTTCAGTGCACAAACTGGAGATGAGGTCCTCTCCCATAAGGAATATGGTCATCTTCAGGTAAAGTATGCATGTGCTTGTAAATGAAAGTTTGGATGATTTTAAATAATGTTCTTTTTGTCTCCATTCTTTCTTGATGCAGCTGCCTCAGTGTTTAATTATTTTTTAGATGTGTTGTACTTGATAAAACTGAAATTCCTTCTGCATCTTTTGATAAAAAAGACAGACTGTTTTGAAATATAACTCAGTGGTATTTTTTTAGTTTTGGTCAGAAGGTACTGAAATAACTGGGATTTGTAGAGGTAGATGATTGTTTATAAATTTGCTTCTTTTTGAGACCAGCAGATGGCTGTCAATAAATAATCCTGGCAAAAAAATGTTGAAGCAGTCAGTAAAGTGAAAGATTTAGTGTCATCTTATTTAATATTATATTTTTATTAATGTTCCCAGCTTAATTTTCTGTAAGTCAGAGCAATCTTCATTCATAGTAAAGATTTAATGTACACTGTCAACAGCTTTGACTAGTTACAAATTGGTTTTCACTGTTTTGCGTAGGGATTCCTAGTCAGATCCATTGCATAATTAATTGCTTTATTGTCTTTAGTTTTCAGAAGTATGGATTTACTTTGTTTGTTTGGGGTTTTTTCCTTCTCTTTACATTTTGACCCCCCCCCTTTTTTTTTTTGCATTCATGACCTTGTTTTTTTGCATTCCGTGACTCTACATACTCTATTTAGTTCAGAAATTGCTAGTGAAATTACTCAGAAGTGACAGTGAGTTGATACTTATTTAATTGCATGTTGATATCACAAGTGATGTTTAACATCACTAAAATAGTTAGAACAGTAAGTGTGTTGAATTCAGAAAATGTATATTCTGAAAAAATTGATCTGTGTGGTTATCCTAAGTTCACATTTTGGACTTCTAGGTGATGATAATTTTGGGACCTGGGGAGCACCATGTGATAGTTCAAAGTCTCTGTTTCTTGTGGGAAGTCAGCCCTTCCCATAAACATGAACGCACATCAGGAACTTTCAAAAAATAGAGTTTTCAGCTCTGCGGAGACAACAGAAATCAGAGACTCTTGTTATTCAGCTCATTGAAACAAGTTATTGTGATAAACTTACTTTCTCTATTGAAGTTGTACGAATTCTCAATTATACTAGAATTCTGTATAACAAGCAATTTGGATTCATTAATAAACTGTCATTATGATGTGCATCTGTACAGCTGCTGAAGGTCATTACTGTTAATAATATATGTGATGTACAGCTACAAAAGAAAAGTTTTTTACAAATCTATAATCACCTCTTACTGTTGTAATTATAGTTCTGTCCGTTGATAACCCTGAAATTCCAGTTAGGGGTAAAGTGACTTGCTTTTTACATGTGCTGTATACAATTCAATTTGCTACTTGCTAATAAATCGTCCTATATGTAAATGTGGAACAGGTTGTGACTAAAGTGATTGCCTATAGGTCAAAGCAGTATGCCTAAGCAGAAACATTTTAATATCATAATGTAATTCAATATAAATCAAATAATTTAAAACATGATACTGCAGCAGAAGTTGTAGAGGACAGTGCCGTTTGGTGGCATGTCTTCCTATTCCTTGTTTCCACATCATTACATCTGGGATATTGGTCAATTAGGATAATAGTTTTGAAGAACCGAACGTCTATAAAGAGGGACCATCTTTGTTAGTGAGTAATATCACATTTAACTTGTTTGTTTATTTGACTTCAGTAAACATAAAGTTAATTATAGTTTCCTTTCTGTCTTTAATTACTTCAGATAAATGCTGTGTCGTTATTTCTCCTCTATTTGGTTGAGATGATCTCTTCAGGGCTGCAGATTATCTACAACACAGATGAGGTACAAGTCGATTTCCAATGCTAAAACACATGCTTTATTAAGTGTGGATTTTTTTTTCATTTCCAACTCTAAAATAATTATTCTGGAAATACACTGCAGATATTTTCCACTTCCAGTGGAAGTCAGAGAAGATAAATGGAATGAATGGATAGTGAAATAAATTAATAGCTAATAAAGTGTTAGATATAGAAGGAGCGAATGTAACATGACATTGGAAACTTGTATAGCTCCCTGCTATTTCTGAAAGGTACAAGGTCAAGAATAAAAAGGTCTGTTAGGACAGTTAATGTCTAGTTATGTCATTCTCACTGTCAATCAGTGCATGCTGTCCAGGGGAATGTCAATAGAATTAATAATAGGGATAATTTTCTGGAAAGCTGAAGGACTTTTTTCAGATAGACATGAACCTGTGTTAAGAAGTTTTGCTGTAACTTTAATTAAAAATAAAACTCTTTTATATCATCATAAGAGATGCTTGTAAGATTGTTAACTGTTCTGTAAATAAGATAATAATAGCCACCATGGCTTTGCCTTGAGGACAAGTCATGTCAGGACAACCTGCTGTTATGTTTTGAGACGGGAATGGAAAGCACTTTTTTTTTTTCCCATTTCCTTAATCTAGATTTGTTTAAATTTATTCTGGTCTGTTTAATAGTCATTGCTATATTGCCTTAAAAAGCTTAAATGCACTTATAGTACTACCATTTTTTAAAAAGGGAGATTTTTTTCCAGTACTAGTTATTTAAATTATATTTCTAGCACATGCATCTTAGTGAATATATTTTCTTTAGATAATAAAACTAAGTGATGCAATTTGTCTCCTTTCTCATTTAGTTGGATCACGTGATAGGTCTGTATTTTTTTCTTTGAATTGCCTTTTGGCTGTGAGAAGGCAAATGTATATAATTATGTATTTACTTAGCTTGACTTATAATTTATATTATCCTCCAGATGTTTGCATTTAATTACAGAATCTGCAGAAAAAGTGCCTGTGTATGGACTCTCCAGGCGGTGGGTGTTCTCCACTTCAGTGTCAGGATGTAGTTTTCATTGCAACTGTGCCCTAGAAATCTGTGGACTATGGAGCTTTATACTAAGATTATCTTACCACAGACCTGTAGATTCTTTTAGTCTCTGTGTAGGTTCAACGATTGAATATACTCTCAGATCTTACTAATGCCACACAATTGTGGTATTTCCAGCTTTTCATCTGTGTCTAGATAATGTTCAGCGTAGTGGCATTGACAGCGCTATGGTTGTGGCAATCTGCCACCTAAACATGAAGGTGGATATTTCTTTCCAGTGATATCATTGCATGATGTATTTAAGTCTCCTTCCTTTTGCAGAGAGAGGGTTTTGAACGAGTGGAAGGTGCTGGCAGATGGTTGATGTTTGGCAAGCTGTCTGCATGAATGTGTTTGTACACAGAACCCTTGGCTTAGGAGGCAGTCATTGTATACTAGGCTGCTTGATGTCAGGCATGGCAGCTGTCAGTGAGTTACCCTCTAGTTGCATCTGTTCTGCAGTTGAAAAATTAATTTAATCGCATCTTTGCATCCATAACAACGAGAACAGTATATGATTGTACAAGTGAATGAATTTGAGAGCACTTATCTACACACAAACTGGAGTAACACAGTCTATTTGCATATGTATTCTTTTTTACACCTCACTCTCCACATGCTTGACTTCTGGATAAATAAGCTTAACACACAGAATCCGTAATTTCTGTAAGTGCTTTAGCATTGACTTGGTTATAACATTTACATACCCATGATAAGAATGTTGGTTCTCTGGAGATTTTGGTTTGCAACGGGTTATCTACTGACTTTTAACTGTAAATCTGCTATTTGGAAACCCTTAGTTAGTCTCACAGAACATCTGTAATTGACCATTTTTTTCTCGTGTTCCAAAATCATCACTGGTAGACAACCAACCAGGTTATTTCTATGTGGTGCTCTTCTCTTCTTCATGTAGCTATAAGCATCTAAATCTCAGTTGATGATAGAAATAGGAGAAGCCACATTCTTAATCGCTGGGTGTTCTAGCTTCATTTAGAGCAAGTTCATCTTAATACAACCAAATGCTGAATTCCAGGGATGAATAGTGGGCATACCTGAACTGTGGGACAGTCAGTTTCCTTGGAAGGACTACCTAGGTAAAGGTTTTGTGTACAGATAACTGTACATGTAACCCCATAGTGCAATTTTAGCAGAGACATGTAATATATGAGTATAAAATTATATATATTGCTGATGGACTGGTATTAGCATCAAGGGTGTGTCTGAAATGGTAACTTTTTTAAGATTTAAAGAAAAATGGAGAAAAAAGACGAAACAGGTAAATTATACAGGTAAAGGTTTCTGTGTCCTGATTTTGTAGGATTTAATTTCTTTTGCTCTATGATGTTTTTAGGACAAATCTTTTTTAAAAGATCAAAATATCACCTTTTTGGAGCTCTTCAAATAAGTGTCTTAAATATGAAGTCATTTTTATCCCTGGCCTTGTAGGAACTCTTGCATAAATCACATCATCCCCTAATTTGGGACAGATTAAAAACTGATTTTGAAGATAATATCTGAATTTAGGAATATCACTTTCTGGGGAAAAAAATGAGAATGGAAGGTACAGTTGTGATGGCTGAGGAAAAACGACTTTGTTGTTTTGAAAAAATGAACAAAAGGAAGTATGCTTTCATTTTCCTCCAGTCACTTTCCTTCTTTTCTGTAGGTGTCCTTCATTCAAAATCTTGTGTTTTGCGTGGAAAGATCCTATCGTGTACCAGATTTTGGTGTCTGGGAGAGAGGAAATAAATACAACAATGGCAGTCCAGAGCTGCATTCAAGGTAGGTGAGCGAAAGTAGCTCTTTCAGTCAAACAAGTAGTGTGTTATGAATAAAAAGAATTCATGGGATTAGTTAAAAATAATAATGCATTAAAACACTGTTTGAACTAAATTAAGGGTCTCTAAAGACTGAGAGATGTATTTTGGGAAAGCACGAAGTATAATTTCGTCATCATATGCATGCTGAAATAACCACATATATGCTTAGCTGTTTGAGTATTCCAATTCCCATAATTATGTGCAGCTGCATGCGTATAATTCTGCAAATTGTGTTCAGAACAGTTCAGGCTCTTGAGGCATGTGAAGTAGATTGACTTCACAAAAATGCTTAGGAACATCCTGATGTAAGAGTCTAGATTTTCCCATCTCTGCCACGCTGGAGGAACGTGCTGGACACTGTGGAGGACAGCCTTGTGCACAGGTTCTTCTGCAGGTTCTTCAGGTGCTGCGTGTGACCGAGCGTTCTGACCCACATCCTGTGAGACAGTCGGGAATGTCCTTAGCATTGTAATACTAGAATGGTCCAGTTCACTTCAGTGGAATTGCTTACATGATCTTGAAGGATCAGATCTGTAATCAAACAAATTGCTTTTTCTATTGTTACTATTGTTTTCTTCACTTTTTGACTTTTGAGGTTTTATTAATCATAAAAATGGCTATAGCTTGGATATCTTAGGGTTTTTAAAATATCATTGATCATCATAATTATCATGGGCTTGCAAATAGTACACGTGTTTCTTCCAGTCTTCGATGTCAAAAATGAATTTGTGTTCTCATTTCAGAATGAAGTAATTTTTCTTAGTTCACAGATACATGTATTTTAAGCTGCAGATATAGTTACATGTCATTGCAGCCAAACAATTTAGGTAGCTTTTCATAGCTTTTTTAAAGCTTTAGTATCAGTATGAGAACTGAGAACTCCAAGTTGTTACTATATAATCTGCTTTATTAGTTTGTTGTGTTTTTTTCTTCCTCCTATGTCCATAAAATTGTCAAATGTCAGACTACATGAGCATTCACTTAGAGAATCATACGCTTTCTTCCACATCTCACCTTGTACAAATTCACAAATGGAACACTGAAACACCTGTGTCTCCTGTTGTTTGCAGCATTCTGGTTATTCAGCATGTGAATTTCCTCCAGGGAAAACTGAGCATTTTTTAACCAGATGGAAACGGGCATATTGTCTTGTCTTAATCTAGGCTGACATTTATAGGTTGGTTTTTCTAAAGGTGAAGTCTTATGAGATGGACTGAGCCAATCTAACAGAACACTGAGTTGACACAAAAGGAAGTACAAAGCTTGGTCCTAATTTAAGAAGTAGACTTTGGTCAACAGAAACAGGTATTGCCCCTATTTATCTTTCTTTGTGTGCTTGTTGATAGTCTGCTTCACTGTAGAAAACCAGTAGACAATTTCCCTAGTTCTCTTAAATTAGAAAAAATGTTAGAGGAACATGCATCAAAAGATGTATTTAGATCTTGTTGAAGGAAACCCTGAGTACATGAAATCATAGAATCATGGAATGGTTTGAGTTGAAAGGGACCTTAAAGCTCATCCAGTCCAACCCCTGCCATGGGCAGGGACACCTCCCACCAGACCAGGTTGCTCAAAGCCCTGTCCAACCTGGCCTTGAGCACTTCCAGGGAGGGAGCATCCACAGCTTCCCTGGGCAACCTGTGCCAGTGTCTCACCACCCTCACAGTAAACAATTTCTTCCTAATATCCAGTCTAAATCTTCCCTCTTCCAGCTTAAAACCATTCCCCCTCGTTCTATCACTACCTGCCCTTGTAAAAAGTCCCTCCCCAGCTTTCCTGTAGGACTCCTCCAGGAACTGGAAGACTGCAATAAGGTCTCCCCAGAGCCTTCTCTTCTCCAGGCTGAACAGCCCCAACTCTCTCAGCCTGTCCCCACAGGGGAGGTGCTCCAGCCCTTTGATCATCTTCGTGGCCCTGCTATGGACCTACTCCAACAGCTTGATGTATATTCTAGAGAAAATATTTTTAGACCTTGTTATGCTCCTGTTGTACCATATCTACTGAAGAGGGCTCTAAAAGAATTTTTTAAAAAATTCAAGAAGTGATTATAACTAATCAGAGCTAGACATGAATGAGGTACTTCTTCACTGAATATGGACTCCAAAACAGTAACTTAAGTTTCAGTCTTAAGTATGCTGTAGTCCTAGTCCTTAAAACTCACACTGTATATCTACATATAGTGTATATTTGCTTTCAGAATTAGAAATCTTGTGTTTTTTGAAAGAAGTTTTGTTTTTAAGGAAGATATTATATAATATGAAGTCCATGGATAATAACTGCAAATGATGCTGGTGTTAGAAGTTGCAGATATTTCAAGTCTTTACACTGTTTTTGTATTCTATCTTAGTACAATTTAAAACACTTCTAATAAATTATAAATAGGAAAACACTCTGTGGACCAGGTCTTCACTGATGTATGCAAATTGATGCCTTTTACTGGTTCAAAGGCAAGATTTGTAACAGCTTTTATTATAGCATGATCTGCTTCCCATACGGCTGAACTTCTGAAAAATTATTTTGCCCTGTATCCATTTGATCAAGCTGTTCTCCAGGCATTTGCTGAGTACCTCTATGAAATGTCTTTGACATGTCCCATATGTACTGTGAGAATAATGAAGTTGCCAAAGTGTAGTATCTTCATATTCCAAATCTGAGACTGTAGAGCCTCGATCTTGCTCTTTTCTGTAGTGTAGGTATTGTATTGCTGCAGTGCTGTCTTTCCTTGTTCTAGTTTGTTTTGTCTAGGTATGAAATTATTATTACTGTTGTGGGACTGTTTTTTGTTTGGTTTGGTTTTTTTAAACATCCCTTGTGTTTGACGTTCCAGTTAAACCACACAGTTCTTGGATGGAGCCAAGGAACAGTGAATGGGAGGAAGGTTAAGGATGGATGTGCTTTAAGGGGTGTTTAGATTTGCAGTTGCTAGGAATATGCAAATTTTAGTGTTTGCCTCAGGTACTTTACTGAGAGGGTAAATCTAACAATGAAAGGTTACTGGGAGTTATGAATAGTGTTTAAGTGAATTTACTAATGCGTTTTTAGGAAGCTGGAAGTATAATTTCTCTAAGTTAGTCTCAGCTTACCCCAAATGTGGATCGAGGTCAAATGATACCCATAGTGTTATGATTGCAAGACTGCTCTTGGTAATTCATGACAAACACAATAACAGCAGCTGCAGTAATGTCTACAGATTGCGCCTGGAGAGGTTCAGTATGGACATTCAGAAGAAACCTTTTCACTTGCAAGTGCAGTGAAGCACCAGAGCAGGATACTCAAAAGAAGTTACAGAATCTCCATCCCTGGAGGTATTTGAGAGTTGTTCAAGATGAGGCTGTGGTTCACTTGACTCAGTCTTGGTTATTCCATCCGGCTTCAAGTGAGATTTCGTGTTGGACTCAATGAGTTCTGTATGTCCCTTCCAACCAACAACTTTATGATCCTGTGGTCTTTTCAGAGGAGTATAGAAAGGGCTTGAATTAGACTTTTTTGGGGGGCTACCTCTATTCCTCTCTGGGAATAGAGTCCAGCAGGTTAACACAGCACGTTCATAATGGGTTGTTAAGTGGAGGAAGGAATGTATTTATTAAAATACATTTTGCCTTTAATACATACTGTTAAAACAGTCCATTTTTTCCATTACTAAATTGTTAAGTATCAAGAACATCTTTTCTGTAGAAAGACATGAGCATGGTGTTTGTTATTGTTATGGTTTAAGGGTTACCAGCCTTAAAGGGAAGGACAGGTGGTGTCTGTAGGACCCTGGGGGTCAGAGATCAGTCCTGTTCCCTCCCCTTTCCGGCCACAGTCTATAAAAACCTGAGGAGGCCCGAGGTTTTCGCGGGCTTTTCCTTGTTTCCTGGGCTGCTTCCTGTTGCATCTTGGGGCGGCTGGATCTACCTCCATGTGCTCGGCAGCATCCACCACCACCCACTTCCCGGCACCACTGCGGTCCGTGGTGGCAGTCACAGCGGTCACAGCGACCACGAGGCACTGCTCGGACACTTTCACTCGGGACTGCTGGGATTGGGTTTTGTATAGAGTTAAATATCCTTTATCTCTTATTAATTCCCTTTTCCTTTCCCCTGTTGTTTTTCATTAAACTGGTTACAGTCTTAACTTCCAACCTTGTGCGAAGCATCTTTTTCTCTATCCCCTTTGTTTTTTTAAAATCCTCCCCTGGGAGGGTAGGGGACAATAGAGAGAAAATCCTGCTCTCTGAGCCTTAAACGGAGACAGTTATAAAACCTCTTTTCTAATTTGCCCAACAGGAAAGCATTAATCAGTAGGAATGAAACAAGTGTCTGAAGTGTGATCATAGCTCTGCAGTGTGTTACGTTGTGTGATTGTTCAGTCTTTAGAAGACACACTTGATACTACAGCCATTCTCAGGCTTTTGTTTTTAAATTAACTTCCTCCTGTCAGTTACCCAGGAAACTTCTAGTAATATAAGTGGTACTTGTGTGTATGGTGAAGGGAGTGCTTGATAGACCATTGTAATGTGAAGAAATACTACATGAAGGGGAAAGCAAGCAGAATTTTAATGTTGAGACATTTATATTTTCATTTGTGAGAGTACTGAAGTCTCCAGGGCCTTTGAGTAACCAGAGGTAGATAAATACTGATCAGTCACAGTAATATTGTTCTTATTGTAGAATAATGACAGAGTATGTAAAGTAGAAATTGTTTTAAGGAAGGAATCCATATTTGTCTTCAATTTTTTTGAGGCAGTATCATCCTGTTTTGTAGGTAGAGTGAATGTAGAATCATGGAGTCATTTGGTTGCAAAAGACCTTTAAGATCATTGAGTCCAACCCAAACTAGGAGGTTTACATTATCTGGATACCAGTGGTTTTTGCTGTTGAACAACTACCTTCACTACCTTTCGTCAGTAACTTTTTTACTGCTCTGAAAACCTGACTGTTGGCGTTAGAAGTGTTATTTGGAAGGGAAAAGAAGAATGTGAGATTAAAACGTGTGATACAGATTTCAGTGTGCAGGATTTCTCTGATTTTCATTTTCTGTGTGTGCAGTTTGATAATTACACTTAACTCCTCTGAAAAGTTCAGTTGAGTCACCACGCCAATTTGTTTGATCAGTTGCTAGGTGATAATTAAAACAGAGCAATTGTTAGAACAATTCCGTTTTTGTTGAGGTATTTGAAACAAAGCCAGCAAAATAATTATATTAACAACACTTCTGAGTTCCGTTTGTTCTTCCATCACATTCTGCAGTACCAAAAGCTTTCATCAGCACAAGATACCAAAACAGAGGGATTCCACCAGTGTTTGATGGCAGCTGCTCAGAGCAGAACTTAGTTAACCTCTCCAGCTTTCTCATGTTGAACCGACTAGAATTAAATCCCACAACTGCTATTTCTGGCAATGTTTCAGAAAGAAAGCTGGAGATTTATAAACCTGTTGGTAATAGTTAAAAAGAATGCTAGAGTCTGAAATCAGTGTGTAAAGTACTTTTAATACTAAAACCAACCTAGGTAAAACAGTACTTAAGGTAAACAAATTCTGTAACTGCACTGAATTTTTTTCATTATTTTCAATATTTTCTATGTAATCACAATTGGCTCCCATCTTTAAAGTATGGATTAGTAAACATCTGAAATTTGATATTTTACATGCATAAATAGTACAAATCAGTTTGTTTACAGTAAGGTAAAAGGTTTACTCTCGTCCCAAAATGTTGTGTGGAGTATAGAAGAAATAAGGTTAAAGCACAGTCCCTATTTGCTGTTTGCTGACAGTTTGTTCACTGTAGGTTTTTTGGGCCAGTGGACTTGTTTGTCAGTTTATCATCACAACTCCTCTTACACAGACGTTGGGGATTATTAATGATTATTTTCTGATGGATTTTTTTGTTCCTTCTTTGGCAGTACTGCGTAATTTTTATCCCCAATGAAAGATGGCAAGAAAAATGAAAGTGTAGCTGGCTGAGTGGATAATCAGTTTTGGAGTAAAAAGGATTTAAACTTTTAACTCTTTTTTCAATCCTTTTTTTAAAGAGAGTATTTAAAGAATTTACTGTGCTAATAAATAAACTTAAATTAATTAGTATGTTCTGTTTTTCTCAAACTTATTGAAACTTCAGACTTTTCAAGCATCTGTATATAGCAGTGTAGATGTTTATGAGAGTTCTTCTTTCTGTTTGGTTGGTTGGTTTGTTTTGTTCTCTGTGTGTGTGTGTGTGTTCTTTCCACAGATTTTTATCTTGCCAAGGTTGGAGGCTTTCTTCCTGCAGTGATGATCTATGTCCTTATATGATGTTCTGTCACTTCTGTTTACCCTTACAGTCTTTTAAACTCTGAGTCTTTTGTCATGTCAGCCTGATTCATTCTGCTTTTTCCTTTTTCAGTCTTTTGCTGTATGTCTTCAGCTTTGTTAACTTTTAAAGATAACAAAGTAGACATCTATATTTTCCTGTTATTCTGCTGTCTTCCTTTTCTGTTGTCTCATTTATTGTCCTATTTGGACTATAAAATATTTCTAATTAAATGTAAGCTACTTTGAAAGCAGAGCTCTTGTCTAAAGGAATGGGCAGTCAGGGAGAAAGGTGAAACTTGGTTTTGCAGGAGGAGCTTCAAAACTGGGACAGTCATTTAGGGATAGCACCTGGGGTGTCATTGAAGTCAGGAAATCACTGCTGTAGTTTACACAGAGATGAAGCAGAGAGAGAGAGAAAGATGCATTGGTGAGAGGCGCTGTAGTTAAGTGGAGACAAAAGCACAATTTTGAGATACAGTTTTATAAATAAAGTTGGGAGAGTTATGCTAGGCTTTGTTTTACTGGATGCTCTGACTCTGTTTTACCAGATCACCTAAGAGAATGTAAAAGGTGTTTGGGGTTTTTTTTTGCTAGCCTTGTGTAGTATTTCTAATTCCTATACTTTTATGTCACCACTTAGTAAGCAGTGCAGATT